ATATAAAGTTTATAAGTCAATAGTATATAGCCTAGAGCTTTCGCAAATTAACAGTTTAAAAGTTAATACATCCTGGAGAACATGTAGTACATTTGAATGATTCCTATATGCCGTGTTCTTTACATGTATCGACCTGTGAATGTGCAGATATGATTGAATAACACTAAAAAGCGGCAATCTTCGAAGGATCAGAGCGACAATTTAGTTTCTTAAAACCGCTATACACGCGATCAATATCAACTTACGTTAGCGAAAGCATCATTGAAAACAGGCACGATTTTATTATGTTTTAGGGTAAATTTCTCGTAGCGTAGAAACAATCTTGCTATTACCATTGTTATATTGTTGTAGCAAATACCCTTATTACGTACCGTCTGTCGGAGCGTACCACAGACCGATTGCCCCGTTAGACATCGGAAACGGGACGACTTAGCTTAATTCTATCGCCTATATATAACAGTTATCATGCGAAAGGCTATTGATTATTTTAAGCTAACTTGGGTACGCATCTAAGCATTGCCAACAGACATTTTCTGTTAATACTCAATGAAAATATTGAATAGAAAAGAGTACGCATTGGCACCAAAAAGTTCATCTGTAGGTCCTAGTTTACAGACTCTGCCTAGTCGCGTTCTATAGGCACAGCAGGATTTATTGACTGGATATACGTTGATAGGCTACGCAACAATTTGTCAAAAATACTATCAAGTGGATATGAATGTTTATAGCGTTTAGCTAAGAGCATCTATAGAGAAATGAGATCTAAAGCTTCGATATAATTTTTTCTAGGGTAACTGGAAACTCAACTTAGAACGAAACTCTTACTTGGGCGCTAGCTATACGATATGCTTGTGATTGAAAAGGCAAATATAGCTCGGTTCGAATGGTTATCACATATTCAAAGGGAAATTCTGGCTGCAAGGCCTGTGTCCTTGTTTACATGAAATGTAGGACCTTTTTCCCGGTTTGGTATTGACTGCACACATCCATGTCTGGTCATTGTCCTTCATTGCTATCTAAATACATAACCTATAGATTTGTTAAAAAGGGTTCAACCAGAGAAGCAAAAGTGACCGCTCAATCATCAGCGCATTTGATATAGCCGTCCATAATAATCGGCAGTTGTATTAAGTAGAAGCCGGCTACTAAGCGGCTTGAATTTTTGTTACGTCCAAGTAGCTGCCGGATGGCTTCTAGTCGGAAAATCTGCCTGTACTGTGTAGGATGAAGCCATTGGACGTTTCGGATAATCCACAGGTAAAAGGTGGTGGCCTACCTAGCAGTTCCAGCCGTGTCGGTATCGTACAGAGACGCAAGGATATCGACGTTTCAAACTATTCTAGTGGTTACTGAATACAGACTCGTTTTGCGTGATGACGTTTGCCTGCGCAAGGATCGGCATGCAAACGGAATCTACCTGGACTTACGTCGGCAAATAGGCGCCTGCATATTTTTCAAACGTACTTTTCATTGTCTACTCAACAAAAGGCTTTGCGACTTTAGTTGTGTAATATATATTTATTGGCGAGAATGCCACAATCGCGGAGTACGTTGAAGTAAGCGGCACTAGCTGAATAGCTGAATTGTTGTTGAAATGAGGCCAGAATTGTGGGACTCGATTGTTTCAAGCTAGCGCAGGCTTTTTCGTCCGCCAGATCCTGCCAAGCGCTATTGACGTAGCGACAAGATTATTACGGCAGGTACACAGAATAATTTCAAATCTGTTAGATAATATCGTTAGCACGCTCATTGGGCATGGAGCTTTATGAGAGTCATTTGCCAGTAATCTTCATAAGTCGTCAGTATTCATAAGTCAGTTATTTTAACTGTCTTAGATACCGGCAGTAGCTGAGTGCCGTGATACTTTTCTGGATAATAATTTCGGATAGTCGCAGTTTATTCGTAGAGTGATCGTTGCTACGACTGGAAAATCACTGGGAGAGGGAGTCCGCACTGAAACTCAGGAGTCTTTGATGTTCGATCACTTGCGCGCGACTGTGCCCGCGCATGTGTCTAGAAACGCTTTATTAGATTACGCTAGTTAGTATCAACTTGTGCTTCTTACTGTGCCCGCTCAACTAACAATTGTGTCGGAGGTAAGGCGTACCAACGACCAATGGGCGGGGTGCCGGCGCGTCGGGCCGGTATTGCTTGCGAGAATTGTAGCGGTTGCTGGTAGCGACTGTACGGCTAGTTCAGTGACATTGAAACAGCCAGTACCTGAACGGGATAAATTTGAGCGCCCGAGATGCTCTGAAAGTGAGCGAATTAGCAGCAGAAGAGCGAGATGATCTCAAGTTAAGTAGGAAAGGGCGATCCTCGTTTCTGTGGAGTGTCGTCGATCTTCTTGGTTAGTTGCAGGAAAACCCACGGGGCAGTTAAGACGATCTCAGCAACCTGTTCACGAAAAAATTGTGTGATCGTTGTCACCAGTTGTAGAACAAAAAAACGAGCTCAAGATGACAGCAAATACGAACGACGAATACGCGACACGCTCAAGATAGCAAAATTAGCAACGGCGCTTTATGTAATTTACACTGCTCCATAAAATTCTACTGAGCGAGAGGCTCTTCTCAACTGCATTAAGGTTCCTTAGTATGGTTACGCACTGACGGTGATCGGGTACTAATCGACCTTTCGAGCCTAACGCCTCATCGGGAAATAAACCGTAATCTCCATCCGCAGTGATATCCGCAAGTCAAGCTTCTGTCCGCGTGATTTTTTCTGCCGCATTAGAAATTGATTATAACCGTAAGCAAAAAAAAAAAAAACAGAAAACAATACTTTCGTTACTTAGAAGGGAACTAACTGCTCTATTGCCAGCGGTAGTAAGTGAGCGTAGAAAGGGTAATAGGAGCGTTTGCCGGTATACCACTCCATATAATCTACGCCCCAATGGAACGTCAAGCCGTTAAGGCAAACTCAGCATGACCTGCCACTTGACACTACCGGGAGCTATCAAGTAGGACTATGGGGCGGTTGTACGAGGCAACTTCTCCATAAAGCTCTTCGTCGAGATAACTGATACGATGCGATGGGCACTGTGCGAGTGAATGTTTAATATCGGCCCCTAAGTCGATGTCTTTCTTTGTGTGTGTGTGTGTGTGGGTATAAAAATATATTCCATTTAACCGGCTAGTTTTGCGCGGGTTTTCTGTAGCTCTAGGCGAAATACTTTCGCTCATGGTGGTCGATTATCAACTGGCCAAATGGTAGGTCCTTGAATATCATTGGCTTATAGTCAAATGCAAACGTTCGATCGTATAGATAGAGCACGGATTTCTATGTACGGGCGTGTGTTCGAACTCGTTTTTACGATAGGAACGTAATAATAAGAACGCTACAAATTAGTTCGACACAGAAAAGCCACACAGATAAAATAGATTTAGCAGCGAATTTTTATTTAGTAGAAGATTCTAAGTAAAGACGCGCTATATTGCTCCCGTGACATGTCTGTTTGCGGTCATCGAGTGTCGCCATCTATCGACTGCGTAGAGGGTGCATAAGGATCGTGGAGAGCCTGATAATTTGGTTATTGTGTGTCACTAAAAACATCGTGTGCGCTTTATAACGTTGTCAACGTCATTACGTGCGAGTGAAAAAGACTCGAATTGCGTTTGTGATTGAGAGTTTGTGATGGACAGACGGTCGTTCCAGTTCTCGAAGTTGCCAGCGCGTGCAGTGAAGAAGACATTGTACTCGCAGGAAAAATTTGAGTTACTGCCGTAGACGTAATTACGTTGCCTAAAGTAGAAATCACCTGCGCAACCGAAGACAGCAAGCGCACAATCAAATTTAACATAAAAGAAACAACATCAATAGTTACTGTTGTTATTATTCAGCTTTAATAAGCGTCCGGACTCATTAGCGAGACTCACAAACGAGATACAGAGGAAGAAGGAACTTTAAGCACTAGCGCTACGTAACACCTAGTGGCGCCAACGAAACCCTCCAGTTGCCGTTTACTCAGTCCACGTTTGGTCGTATGTTTGACGTGATGAGTAATTACAACTACAACGTAATCCTCGTTCACTTCATCTACGACGCCACACATTGCGCTTCGATGTCACCCCGCGTTCATCGCATCGGCCGCATTTACCCACCTCGGCCAACAACGGCGTGCTAAGACGACCGATTTCCTTGTTTTTTAACTTTGTGAAAAGCGAATCACGCGGTATTGACATTCGTTAGCAAAAAAAAAAAAAAAAACGGGAAAAGCCCTAGTGTTACAGGCTGGTTCATCTTCGATTTTCCACAATTTTTTCCGTCAAATTTTCGTTTATGGCCGAAACGCATAACAAAAATATCGTCGATACTTCTAGACAGAAGAAATCAGCCACACTGTCCGCTTGATTCGTTGAAGTTTTGGTTTCAAGTTGGATAGTGGTGTAGACAACATACATATTTATCTGGTAACGTCTTTTAGAAGAAAAAAAAAAGAGAGAAAAAATTAGTAAGAAAATGGTTGTCAAAGTTTCATGTGTCTATTAGACTCTACGCTTTTTTTCCATTTGTTCCTGTACATGTTTTGCTATTGATTGTTAGTGCTCGTTGCTGTCTGCTAACTGCAATAATCATCAGCGATATTTACTTGACGTGTTTCGGTGTAGACAATCATCGTACTTTGTTTTCATTGACGACACGTACACACGTCATCCAACGAAGCTAGACGTATTCCGTATGTGTGCAGCTGCATGTTGAGGCTATCTGCAGACTAGCGCTAAGCGACTCATACCGTCTTCGCGGATTATCTGTGATCGAAATAGAAATCTCGGGACGCCGTGAATTTTCACGGAGACAGGTTTTTGGTGGCTTACTACGTTCAGCTAGTAGCAGCTCGTCCTCCCGGTCACCTGCTCACTGTCTAATAGACGCATTTATCGGCAGTAGCAGTCGTGTTAGGCCACTGTCATTGTTTACGCGTTAACGAGCCTAAATGACAGAAATAGCGTTCAGCACAATTACTCTGTTACGTTCGTTTGTAGCCACAGGCTACTAATTCAACCTGCCATATTATAAAAGAAACAATACCAACATAACGGCAAGCACTGCAATCGCGGATGTTCGGTGCAGTGCGTCGATGGCGACGGCGTACGGCGTCGAGCGGCGGTGCAACGGAGTGCCGCGTGAATTTTTAACCACGCCAATCGTTCACCGGCGGCAGACAGTTACGACTGCGATTGAGATCGTACGAAATCGTTTAGCAACGGTGGTTACGCTCGCCGCCTATACGATGTTCGATTAAATTCGCGCCTATGGCCTATGAGCTAACTAACGGATATCGTTCATCTTCTGCTGTAACAACCACGAGTATAGTTGTGTGATTGGATTATCGACACGGCCTTACGTTGGTTTTACTGTGTTCTTTCCTGTTGCGCATAATCCAGTTGTAGCAGAAAGCAGCTTAGCGAAGCGCGGCAGTAATTAAATGGATGAGCCGGCCTGCGGAGTGAACGGACCGACGAGGAAGGCTCGCCGTTGCACATACCTACTACTGTCCATACGCGTCAAGACAACAAGTATTTGCCTGCTAGCAAACGATTAAGGCCAAGCTAACAGCTTCATCCAATAGGGCCTAAACGATGTCAACGGCGGATGACAAGTTTGGGTACGATACGAAGTCGTGAATACACAAATGGTGTATCTTGTGCCATGCGGGTGAATAAGTCGAACCGAAATCGAGCGAAGATCGATCATCTAAACATGAACTCCTATTGTGATTAAATCCTTGGATCATTATCATCATCGCTGCTGCGACCCGCACGGCTACGGCTATCGTTATTAGGATAGGCCACAGGCAACAAGCAAAAAAAAGCAAACGTCATCGAACTATATCAGCTTCCATCGACGCCACAGACGACATCGTCGGTTTGGGCAACGCATCTGATAGCAGCTACAGACCGAATTGATAGGGCTAAATTTGAAACAGTCAAATCTAGAAGAAATGGAAGCTTTGAGTCTAGCGGGCGAGTTTCCGCCAGAAACGTGCAAATCATTTGCTTGACGTAAGCTGTCGCCAGCGTTGCTTGGGTCGTATAGGCCATTTGCAACAGTATCGACAGTTAACGAGTGGTACAGCAGCAGTTGTTATTATTAGAAATAAACAGCGTCATCGTTTCATAGAGGTTATCAACATCGTTCCCGACGTTACTCGAAAAAATCCACGAAAGAAGAAGAAACCTGCAAAGGGAAGATTACGAAATACAACAAAAGCGAACACACTTCGGTGCCTGACTGTCAAATAAATGCATTTATGGTAAGGGCTGCTTTGCTAGTCTTTCTGAACATTTTTACACTAGTTTAATATAAACTAGACACTTCCAGTGGTGGTACTTGGAGCGAACAATCGCTAAGCGACTTCAACTGATTCGGTCCAGCAGCCCAAAATAGACCCAACTACTTGTCCCATCGAGAAACCCGCTGATCTCAGCAGTAGCGTAACATCCATGCATTGATCATCGTTAGAAAGCAGATCGTAAAGCGTCGGCTCAACGCGCTGTGCGGCTATCGTTTTGCGTGTTGATGTTGGACGCTGTCTGCAGACTTCGTCGTCGGCTGCAGTGGCTTCCACGCCAACTCTTGACTCCACAACAAAAGACGCGGCCGTAGCAGTAGATTCGATTTTTCTTGTTGTTGTTGTTGTTGTTGTTGTTGCGAGGTAAAGTGGAGGAGCGTTACTGCTCTTGCGTCACGGAATAGAAGACGGCGCTACCAGAAAACAGTCATCAGTCGAGACAGGGGTGAAGAAGCAAGGATCTTTGTCGACTGAGTCGACAGGACGACTCGCCAGGCGACTGTGTTCGGTCTCGCCTGTAGACTGTGGACTACTATTGTTACTTGGTGCTCGTTTGTGTTTTGCGTCTTCCGATTTCCGTCCGACGCTGGGCCGTGCACTGTGATCAGAGGTGAAAAGGTTCAATTCAGGAACTATTGCTGGAACCATAATTTTTCGAGCCGTTGTTGTGTATTACCTGCTCGCCCATTGACAGGGTTGTTGATCAGAGTCTACAGTGATAAAAGTTTTGCTTAAATCGAAATGGCCAGCATCCTGTAACGAAGAGGGTGTTCGTCGTTAGTTTAATAAATGATAATTCTTGTTATTGTTCGAGATTGATGTCGTGTTAGAACTATTGAATCTATATAGTATTAGTGTAAATTAATCGTCAACGGCAACGGCAACAACAACCCGAACAACAATTAGATTTATGATAGCAGCAAACAATTAAGATGACTATCGACAATGTTAAGGATGAAACGTGGATCAGAATCGCCTCCCGATGGCTTGGATATGTCGCGTTGGCCTGGGTCAGTTATCTGATCTATCAGGCTAGCGGCATCTCGATCTCGGAACAGCTTGCCAGACTATCAGAACGTCGGAAGCCCAGTTCGAACCCACAAATCCGAGTCATCCCAGCGACGCCTTCGGCGCTGGAGAAGAGGCTCGATGAGGTGTTCTCAGCTTCGGCTGTAAGCTCGAATCAGGCAAATAACGCCAACGCTCAACAATCGGCGCCGTCGACGACATCATCAGTTCCTTCCGAATGGGTACGTCTGGCCTCGAGAAAACAAAACAAATCGAATTTTGTTCTTCATTCGCCCAAGCGGGTGAAAAACAACGAAGTACCGGATGGCAGCATTTCCAGCAGCGCCGCTGTGAGTGTCAATCGCACTGAGACAGACTCAGATACTGGTGATCTTCTTCAAAAAGCAGCAGCACGTAATCAAGATGATGATGTAGACCATAAACAGAAAAAACCGCAACAGCAACTGTCACAGCGGCAAATAGCGCAATCAGTAAACGCTGATTTTCAACTTCCCGAGGCAATAGTTTCTGACGAAGCGTCAGTGATGCGTTCGCCGGCAACGCCAAGAGTAACATCATCGATGCCAACCGAAGCTCGGGGCCCAACTGAGGCGCCTTCGACTTCTCTTGTGGGTAGTAGTTGTAGCAAGAATTTCGATGATCGGCTTTGCGATCTCGCCAACCGTTTTCACGTGACCCGGTGTTCGTTTTCAGTCGACAAGGCTACCAGTTTCGGGGTACCGGTGACGCTCCTCACCCCTGAAGACGTTTGCCCGCCTGACACGCTCATTGCGACCGACCTGACTTCTGCTAATAACGATCATTACAGCAGCACCAACAACAAAAATAATAACACTCAACACGACCATCAATACCAGTATCATATCGTTACCACCCCCACTCACGGCACCGGGAAAGGCGCTGAACCAGCTGCGCCCAGTAACGACCAAGTCGCATCAGAATACGAATCACTTACGGAAACAGCCGTCGCCGTAGACAAGTCAACATCACTTAATCTCGTATCCCAGTCGAATAGCGGCAAGAGGCCGGGTAAGCACCTCACTAATAATAACGGCAACGGCGATGCTCCGCTCACAAGCCATGAGCATGATAGCATTAATGACAACGCTCATAGTCACAAGAACGAAAATAACAACAATGAATCTAACAATAATAACACAGACCCAAGTTATAGAGCTTTTCAGGCTCACGCTTCTCATAGCGCCAATGCAAATACATATTGCGAAGTAAACGGTTCTGGCAGGCTCTCGCCAGTGGCATCACTGTTAGTATGCCCTGATTCTGATAACGCATTGTCTTGTAGCAGTAGCAGCAACAGCAACGAAATAGCTGTCAGCGTTGATAATAAAACAACTGCTACGCGTTCGATTGTAACGAATAGGACTGCTGTTGCCGCAGGAGCATCTTGTGCTTCTATACAGACCAAGGCTACTGTAGCTCACGCTGTCAGCACTACTACGAGTACTGCTGACGCTTCTAACCAGCACGTATCGCTTTCTGACAGCTTTGACAAAGTCGTAGGCGCGTCCACTAACGCTGATGCCGGCGATCCCGCCACGGTCGCCCCTTTTCGCGATCAAGACAGCAGCGACCGGCAAGACAACAGACAGCAAGACAGCTGGGGCAAAACACGTCTATCGCATAGTATACTCGACCTTGTTGACACTGACGAAGGGCAACAAGGTCAACAACAACAACAACAGCAGCGTCCACAACAGAATCATCGCCAAGAACCCTCGGGCTTTCAGTCGCGACACATGGGTAATGGCGAAAGTTGCCCTCAGCTGGAGCAGTCATCAACGAGCAAACAGCAGCTGGTAAACCACTCTTGCACTCTGCAAAGTGGTAGAGGCTTCGCTGACATCGGCAGCGTTGATATGATTAACGAACGTTGCGGGACCGACTCGCGTGGCGATATTCATCAGCCAACTGCCGGTCAGATAGGACAAGCTAGGAAATTGTCGCCGACAATAGCAGCGGCCTGCAGGAGAACCTCTACAAGCGGCGCTCTAGCCGAAGATACTTATCTTTCGGCTGCCGACGTCAGTACTGCGACCGCTTCTCGTTGCGTTGGTCTTGTTCCTGGCCGGAGAACTGGAGGTGATCCGCTCTTGGTGCAGGTGCTCTGCGATATCAATGACGTTGACGAATACCATCAGTTGACGAGAAGGGAAAGCGTAGACGAACCGTGGCCTCTCCCCGGCCTACCGAGTTTCCATTCGGACGTTGGATCCAAAGCGGATTTTGGGTCTGATGTCTTTGGCCTTGGTCACAGTGAGCGCGGTACGATCGAGACCGGAGTTCGGAAAAGAACTCAACCGCAAGAACGGCAAGGAGACCTGTCATCTAATCGTGGCAACTGTGCTATTAAAAATAAAACGAGTGGGTTGGACGGCGATTTTGCTGTAGAGCTAGACTGTAGCAGTGTTAAAACCAGTGGTGAGGTGGGGGGTTCGAAGTGTCGTGTACAGTCACCTCATTCTGGCAATGTGACCGCGGCGCAGGTTATTTCCGATGGTGAGGACAAGATTTCATCGAAGAGCCCGGAGCAAACTCCGGAAAATCACGTTACTGAGTCGTTGAAGGTTAAGCAGGAAGCTGAAGCCGTGCGATGGGATTTGTTAAGACGGTCAAATACGGGTCAGGAAAAAAGTGACTCATTAGATTCGTCGTGTGAAGAAGAGGGTGTTGCAGTAAACCAGCAGAACGATTATCTTACGGGCGGAACTAATGAAGTAGACTCCGCCGTAAGCGAAAAAACTAAGCAACAGGTTTCGTTGCCGGACTTTAGAACGCCTCCACCCTGGCCCAGACCTACGTTTCATAACGATTTCAGCGTAGGCTTGGAAACCATGGACATTAACGCCAACAATAACGAGTCTATTAACAGCCAGAATGAGGAAATTAGTTCAGTGCCGCAGCTACATGTGATCAATGTTCTCGATGGCATTCTATTCCAAGGCGGAGTTGAACGTAGGGTCCTTCGAACGTTTGAGAGTGGTGGCGATTACGAAATGGTCTATCGAGATAAGCTCGACCGTCTGACCGTTGGGAATGACCACAGTCTTAATGAAATGCGTTCCAACTCAAGTACGCCTGATAGTACACGGGATCAGCGTAACCGAAAAGCGATTCGCGAGGAGGATTTTAGCGACCTCCTGCCGCCACTCAGTCCCGATCCCGGCTACGATTCGTACTCAGACCGCCTGCTTGGAAGCCCTGATGATTGCTTCGAGAGATTGGTACGATCAGCATCGCCGGTGCAGCTTCGAGTCATCACCGAAGAGGAAGAAGCCGACAGACCTCAGTCAGCGCCTATTTCATCGAATACAAAACAATCTCTCGGTTACGAAGAGACCACTATGGTTAGGGTCAACTCATCGGCGACAACGGCCCCCACAACGACAGGAACACCTTCAGATAAAGAAGACCGGGAGCCTGGAAGAGACGTTATGGCACAAATCGACTCAGCTCTTATGGCTCAACTGAGCAAGAAGTTTGATGGTATCACGCAGATGAGCGACTCCGACGTTAACGGGTTTTATGTGACGAGGGTTGCTACCGCCAAGGATGTAGCGAACGCCGGAGCAAGCACTCAAATCAACGACAAAGCCAACACCGAAGCGAGAAGCGTCGACGAATCTGGCAGAATGACGAAGAAGGCAATCACGGACGTGTTACAACCGGTTGTCACCGAGAGCCCCATGTCGGAATGTGAGGCGAACGCCGACGATATCGAAATCATGGTCAGACTATAAATCCTCGTTTTTAGATTTAGAGAAAACTTTCTTTAAATATGCGATGAGAAACCCTCATGGTCTTAATGATAATTTCTCAAAAAATGTAGACGCTTGTTCCTTCTATGGGAAAGCAGCTCGTTCTGTATTCTTTTTCTTACAAAGTATAATATATGAAGAAATTGCGCATATGCGGTCGAGCCCTATAAATTATCTTGTTGGTAAATATTGATTTCTAATTCTTGTCACAAGCTCAGTAGCATTTACTAGATGTTTGCAAGAATGCCACCTCTGAATTGCATTCATGTATTAGATAAGTTAATAAGTATATACATTAAGTACTAGAAGAAAATAGTTCGATGGCTTTATCTTGATGATTGGAATATTTCTCCAGTACAATCGCTGGCACGTAACGTATGAATCATATAACAAAAAGATAGGGTTGTTGCACGACCCTTATTATTAACAGTTGTTTTTATAAAATGACAGAATAAAAACAATATATTGCAGGTAATAGTTGCAACGATAGAGTGAACTATGGATGCTAATTACTACGGAATATTTACTATACGATAACTCTGTACGTTCAGTATTTGCGTAAAGCACAGTTTAATGTTATATTTCTATTTAAAGCAATAACATGTCGGTACTGTGACATGTAGTAGTGTGCTACTTGTGTCAACGCGGTGATGATGATCATTCTTACTATTACAGTTAATCATAAGTGTGCAGGATGTATAAGAGCCCAGAAATGCATCCAGAGAGACAACAATGGCAGCAGTCGTCGGCACGAAAAATAAAAGCAGTAATCAAAAACGCGCAGAGGCAAACACGTGTTTTAAGTCAATCACAGTTGACTAATGATCAGCGAAATCATAAGTATCTTGATTATTTCGTACAGGCACTAAATGACGGGCCGTTTACTCAGAGGTAATGCTGTGGGAATGCAGTGATCACAATGACGAGGATCAACAATCCTTCATAGAACAGGGTTACAAAAACTTACACCAGATGGCGATCTATACGCGTAGCCTCAAGGTTTAAGTTGGAAAAAATTAGTCGACGAGGCTGAATATACATGAACGACTATACGATCATTGCGTTTTTGGACGATGGACACCTCTTCGAAGCTTCAGGTGTAATAATAATAATGTCATTATTATTATAAACTTATAGCCAAAGTCCATCTTTACGAGGGTCAGAGCAGCTGTAACGTTTGTACTGTACCAGTTGTGTTTACTGAGGGGGGTCACACGAGAAGACCGCATTATCGGGGTCGTTCACAATCCAGAGGCCGAAAAAGTCCTAGCCAGACGGAACGAAGCTTCGTTGCGTCTTTGCTATCATAAACCTGTGACGTCGTAGCGATTCGGTCCGTTCGAATATGGGTTGAAGAGCAACTGATTTCACAAAAAAGTGGGACAGCGATGGCCCAGTAGCGGTGTATTTGACAGATGAACCTAGATACATGTGTGGAAATGGATCTGACTGATATCCTAGTTCAACCTGTAGCGTTCAGCTCTGATGTGAATGACGTAGTACCATACCAAGTCGTAACTGCATTTCGTATCCACGCAGAGACGGGCATTTGTTTCACTCGCACCCGACAGACGGCATTCGGGTTGTGCAGAGCCTCTAAATACTAGGACAAGTTAAGCTGGGTTTACTAAATCCCGAGGCAAACAATGTCCGAGATGTTTGTAGATGGTTTTTCAGGCAGTTTCTTTCTGCGCAGTATTATTATGGCATTGGGTAATGTGAGGTTTTTTGGAAACGACATTTTAAGTGGGCAATAGACAGGAGGCTGTGCGGATAAGCAGGCTTGAATAGGTCTAGTTTTCTTGCGGATACAACTCTAAACGCTTTTTGAATAAATTATAAAAATAACATGGTTTTTTACCCGGTCTACTTTTTGAGCATATTTAACGATTTGAGCAGTTCTAGACTGTCTTCTGTATATATACACACCGTTGGCTTGATTACCTAAAAAGAAACCTGATTTGTATTTTATATTTTGTATCTGGATGTATCGCACTTGATTTCTGGAAGATGAATCGTTTGTAGCCGAGACATTAGCACGGTTTAGCATCGTTAACAGATTTCTGTAAGTATACACTGATGAATTTCGCAGCAGCTGAGGTTTCTTTAGTTTTTCAGCTGGCGGTTATCTTTTATTTGTGATTGCCCTTCGGCATAACGTTTATTATTATTACGGTTTCCTTCTGCTATTTTTACAGTAAGGTTTATAATGCCATCGAGCCACTGCAAATATGGCCAGTCGCGATCCAGCTTAGCAGAGTTCAAAATGGCGATGAATGTATTGCAAACGACACGATAAAAGTGTGACAGAGGGTTGCAGTTGATAATGAGGAACATAACGGGTGCGATTTAGTAACGTACCCTACCCTGCGTCCTATTGTAGTAATGAAGAGTATAAGAAGTAGCCTGGCAAGTTTCACTAAAGGCAAGTTCCAGTTAAGTTTATGCGTGTAGAAAGTGTTGGGTGGTAAAGAAGCCTACTTACGTGACTGAAACTCAATGGTAAACGTCAGGGCTGAACCACGCCAATAAATATGGCGGTTATCTATATTCCTTGCGTTGGCCATTGGCAGAGGTAGCGGGCCCAAAACAGTCGTGTAGCATAGCCGCGAAGCCAGAAAAAGGTCGTTTACACATTCATAGCTCTTGTCGTTAGTTTGATGACTTTTTCATAACTATACCTCAATGTTGTATATCCTAATTATACAGTGGCCTAATCGGTTGACGTCAGTCAAAAGCGACCGTGCTTCGTTCTCTCTCTATAATTTCCCTAATTTATCTAGTTAACAAGCAGGGTGAATGAAAATCACTACGTACGGAGAAGACAGAAGGGACATTCGTTAGCCGATGAAAATGTCGTATGTCGAAAAGAAAGGCGCGTTTTTAGCTAGCATGCGGCTATTTTAGAACCTGTAAGCAATATGGTGCGAAATAAGGCGATTGAACGGATCACCACAGGGTTGACTGCGAAGGTTACCGACTCGCTGATGGTTTTGTTTGTGCAACCTCAACTATCCGAATCATCGCACGGATAAAAACGACATTATAGGAAACTGACAAATACTTAAATGAAACCCAGAATGCGGAATTCAGAAACATCATCGCCTCAAGGAAACACGGGCAGCTGGCGAGCAGTTCGGTACCAAGTAGACAGCAAAACTGGGTCAATCCGAAATCATCGTATAGTTCTATATTAATTTATTGTATAGAACAAATTATCAATTTTCAGTTTCATGCCGTTATGCAGCCTTTTAACCAGCCAGCCAGTAGAACGCTAACTAGATTTATTTTTCTTTTAAATCAATTACAATTACATCATACGCAGAGGGTACGGTGTGAGAGGAATGAGGTTTATACAATTTCGTCTAGAGTGCAAGCTTCATATCTTTTTCATTCGCTATTTCAGACGGTACGAAATTTAACTTTTCTCTTAATCACGTTCGGCGTGTGCCGAGATCAACGTGGAAAAGAAGATTCGACGTACCTATATTGTGTACGGCGAGAACTCTATACGGTGAAAAAAGTGCTCGGAAGTGATATGTTGGGCATCCCGCTCCGGTCAGTGCCAAGAGGTGTCTGTCGCACGTCTGGATTACCATTAAACTTATTCTATTTCAGTGTTATCAATCTGTCTGATAGCTATTCTAATTGAAAAGTGGTTCAAAAGCTACTCATGAAATACGGAAAGCTGGTTAGAGAAAAGCACACTTATCAAGTTCAAGCTTTTGTGATCTTCGAAGCAGGTAAGCCAACTCAAAATGGTTTTCGCACTTCCAGGGCCGTCACCAGACCTGACATAAATGTTTTTGACTTCAGCTCCAGTTTGGACATTATAAACAGATAAGAACGTGATAAAAATATCATGCTTTGCAATGTAGAGCATCGATCGTGGTAGCTGATGTCACGTGGTGAACGAGTATATAACACTCAATAAATAGGCATCATTGGCATTGTTCAATATTGAATCACTTAGACCCTCAGTCGCCGTTTAACGATAAACACATATTGGACCTTGAAAAGATTCAACAGGTTCGCTTAAACGGGATCAGGCTCTAAATAAAATACGAGAAAATACTATATGAATAATTCGTTTGAACTACAAATACTACCCAGCTTGTTTTTGTCACACTGTTTCTCTGTGAACCTCATGAAGTCGTTTGCTTCCCATCATCACTTACCCACATTGCAACCGATCGTTCCATTTACGGTATTTCTTTTCTATCAAATCCGTCGCCGGGCCAACTATTTCGGGTAGATCGACTTTTTACACGGCTTTCGCTCGCGGACGATGGGTGTTTAATGGTTGATCATGGTGTATAGTGTTATTGGAACACGAACCAGAACTCCCTGTTCCTGCTTGCTGCCAGACGGGGCGTATGGTCACATACCAGGTAAGGCATACAGCTTGGTACCTTAGGACTGACGGAATCTACAGGCTTTATGCCGAATACTCGATTATACTATGGCGTGGTTGAGATGCAGACGTGCGGCTCGCACGTGAGTGAACCTTGACTAATAGTGGGTAGCAACGTTGGCGACAGTAGTTCGGAATTGATCGATCGATTTGTTGTAACTTCTTGAAGACGCTTGGGTTCTACGAGAGATGCAGATAAATTTCTGAAATATTGGTGGTCGGCGAACCGTCCTCAGTTGAGACCACTGGCTGGCGAACTTCGCCCTCGAGTATCGAACATAGAGCGATGCTTCATCGAATGGTGTCTAGGATACAATGAAACTATCGAGAGCGCCGGGATCATCCAATACAATTTATTGAATCATAAATTCGAATGGGAATCCGAGAAAGGCTTACCACATTGTTACCCTTACCATAGAAGATTTCGTTTTGGTAAAGGTAAGAAAACACGAACGATTTGCTCTTGCTGCGTAGTAAGTTCAAAACTTCAAGCAATAAGACTTTATCTGTTTAAATATATAGGGCCATTTTGACAAGCCAAATACATCGGTCGTGT